TGCCCCCCCGCTCCCTCTGTGTGCCGCTTGCGGCTCGCCTGATGCTCCGGTATCTGTGCGTGGCCCTTCCTGTGGCTGTGTCCTCCCATTTCAGGTTCCCAGGGGCTTGTTCTAGTGCTGCTGCTCAGCTGGTGTTGCAATACATACAGAAGCCAGCCAGGGACCACATCCAGGTGTATTACTGATGGTGGGCCAAAAAGGAGTCTCTCTGAAGCTCGTCTGAGTTGAGGGCTCTTGGGGAAGGCAGGGATATGGGGCCTGTTTTCCTGCCTCTCTGCCCCATGCCAGCCCTCACTGGAATTTCTGCAGCGTCTTGTTCTGGGTGGAGCCCCTGACTGGTGGTTGTGCTGCTTCTCTCTGGAGGACCTGGTGTTAATTCCTGTGACCCTCATAAGCACTGTTTGCATAGCAGAAAGCGGAACAAAGTGTGCTGAGTCAGAGCATTGGTAACCTCCCTCAGCACCGACCAAAAGTTCTCTTACACTGATGCCTGCTCCTGGCCCTGTGGAGTCCAGAATCGTGTGAAGCGCATCAGAATATCCACGTTCTTTAATAAAGAGTTTGTGACTTGCCAGGTTCTTCATAGTGATGGATGGGTGCACTGGGAGGTGTAGGCAAGGAGACAGTTGCTGTAATACAATGCAGGTGTGGGGTGTGGAAGCACTGGGTTTTCGGAGTGGCTGGTGGAGATTTTGCTTTTATTTTATCAGGAATCCTCAGGTAGAAAGTTTGTAGGTGAAATCTGAAATTGGCTCAATCGGTTTCTGCCTACTATAACAGGAGACGTTGTTCTTGTAAATACTGCTTTCAAGTTTAACAATTCCCTGGCTTCTGAGTGTTTAAATTCTCCCCTGCTTGCTTCCGTAGCTGACTTTGATGAATCTAAGTCCCCCAGCGTAGAACAGCTGGATACACTGAAAGAGTTTGCTGGAATCGCTGCCGGAGCCTCAGCTCCTGAGAGCCTTGCTACACTTGCCTTTCTGTATATGTGCCTGGCTATTTCGGCTAAGTATGGGTAAGGCTATCTTCCTGCCCCAAAATAAACATGCTGTTTTGAGTGTTGTTCACCATTAATTGCTTCTACAAGGTCACAGGAAGAAACCAAATCTTTGAGGCAAAATAAGTTACAAGGAATCTCGCTTCATTTAGGTTCTGAGCACCTCAGGAGATGCTCTTCGGAGCTGAGCTGTTTGGTGGGTGGGGTGCCCCAAGCAGGTGGGCTGGGAATCATCTGCTCTCATTTAGGCATCTAGCTTTGAGGTGCTTAAGTCAGAGCAGTTCATCCCGCCCTTCCTGCGCAGTCAACAGCTGCAGAGACGGACGTCCCTCCCTCCAGCAGGCAGCTCATTTCATCCTGGCTTAGGTTAGAAAAACTGCTACGGAAAGGAGCTGTGAATTCATTGTCTGAGCTAAGTCTGATCCCTCCTGTGGGCTGAATCTCCCTGGAAATGTGAGAACTTGGGGTAATCGCGGCTCAGGGCTCTTCCAGTTTCTGAACTTGACCAACACTGTTGATACCGGTGTAAGTTGCTGGACAGGTGCTCAAGGCGATGTCTGATGCAGCACTGCCTGCTATTTTAAACCAAGTCAGAACCTGACTCCAATACTTATAGCAAAGGAATCAAAGGTTAAAGAATTATGATGTGTAGCTGCATCGTGTTTTGCTTTGCAGTCTCTGAGTTGCTCGGTGATAGCACTGGGGCTGTCATCAGCCTGCTCTGAAACCATCAGTTCATAGTTCATGTCACTCACCAGCCAGTGAAAAGCTCCTGGGTTTGATGTTAGGGTCTGTAACACAACCCAGATGCGTTCAGTGGAGAAAAGGGGCATGTGGGCACAGATACGTGCATTTTTCATCTTCCCCATCAGCTTGTCGCTCCAGTGGGATGTAACTATGCAGTTATGGATTTGGGATATTTAGGCTTTATTTAGAAATACGTTTAATGTTTACGACAATCTTTGAAGGGTCTCTTTATGGTGCTACTCAAGTATTTAGTTACTAAGTGCCCCTGCTAGCAGCTTGACAAGCTGTGCTAATCATAGATCCAATTCAGCAAGGCTTTGTTCTAGTACAATGGCTTAGCAAGGCTACTCAGCTGTGCTAACTGAGCACTCTGAAGCCCGTGTGTGTCGGATGCGTGCTGATGTTGCCAGTTTTCAACCAGCTTTTCCTGTGATCAGTCCTAATTGGCATCTTTTGCCTTTGAAATGTTGTCTCAAGATGGAATTCAAGGTTGTTGTGTTACATCCTGTGTGTTTGTGTTTCAGAGATGTTCCGAGTGTGGACATACTGGTGTGGTCTGAGCTGCCCACGGGAGCCGGGCTGGGTTCAAGTGCCGCCTATGCTGTTTGCTTGGCGGCGGCCCTGCTGACGGCGTGCGGAGCCATCTCGTGCCCTCTGAAGGAGGGAGAGTCCACAGCCAGGTAACGTGTCTGGGAAGCCTCCTGCTTTGGATGCACGGCCCAGGGCAGCTCTGCTCTCTGTGCCCCTGTCTTTCCTTTTATCTGCACAAATTCTGGCACTGGCACCTCTCTTGGTCTCTCTGGCCAACTCCTGGGCTATGGCTGTGGCCGCAGCAGTGGCACCCTGAGTCCAACTCCTTTCCCTTCCTCTCCTATCGCTGCCCTGTGTTTCCAGCAGCAGAGATGTGCCCTGTCCCAAGGCTCTGACCTGTGAATCGTGTTTACAATTCGCTTCTCCTGATAAAAGCAACTGGGTGCAGAGACTTGGTAAAACTTGCACCATTTCCCTCATCTAGTGTAAGATATACATACCAAAAAAAACCCCAGCTTTATTTCACCAAGCAAATAAAATGCACAATTTAATGTGGTGAATTTTTTTTTAAGCTCTATTTCCTCTCTGTCCCTGAGCATCTTCCAGGTTTTGCTTTGAGTCCTCAAGGAGTCGAGGATCCCTTTTGGTTTTTCTGCATTTTCACATGAATGTTTTTCTGCATGTGGTACGCTTCCTTCTGATCTCCTGCCTGAGTTTCCCCTTTGTCAGTGTCTGGTGAAAAGGAGTTTCTTTCCTTCTGCCCTTGGGTTGCTTTCCCTTGAAGTTCAGTCTTGAAAAACTGGTCTGCTCTGCTGTGTGTCTGAGGAGGCTCTGTTTAAAGATGCGTATCACAGCTGGAGTGGCAGAACCCTCTATTGTTCATTTGGTGCCAGGTGCAACCTTTTATGGTTGGCTTCTGTGGATTTTGTGTGGGACTGAAAGTGAGACAGCAAGAGGGGGTGAATGTGTCCTGCTTCAAAAACAGAGTTTGCAGCCTGACCCAGAAACACGTTCCTAGAGCAGAGCAGTACGTACGCCGTGCTCAGGCAAATCTCCCAAATAGTCACACGGCATGAGAAATGAAAGGCCAGTTCTAAACCAGGCAGCGAGGATGTCTTCATTCCCTGCTTGCACGTCTTAGCTTCAGCTTGAATACAGCGTAATTCTTTTCTTCCAGCTGGCATGCAGAGGGGTAAGTGAGAGATGGGGGTGTCAGACTTCAGAAGGTTTTTGCTTAACGTCGCAAGAAAAGAACAGCGTGATATAATGACTCCTGTGTAGAGAAGAATCGCAGCCTCTCAAAGAGGATTAAAAACAAGTGGTTTACAGCAAACTGCGCTTCTATTTTGAGTAGCGGTGGTGTGAGCTGTTTTCCTGAATGCTTCACAGATTAAATATTGGCAAGCGAAATGAAAGGTGTGTGGAGATGGATAAAGACATTCAGCTGAGGCCCAGGGAAGTAGGGAGTTAAAGGAAGCAGCTTCCAGATAGCAGGTGGCTCTCAGAATTTCTGCCTTGCCTTAGCAGCAGTCAGTGACCGTTCTCATTATTTCATTTAAGACTGTGTGATGCTTTTCCAAAATCCATGTTTGTGCCCTCTGCTCCATCGTGTAATACCTGTTCTGGGCCCCATATTTTAAAAACCTGTCGAATGCACGTTCTTGCTGCACCAAATGCCAGCTCTGATCTCTGCAGAACATCACTGTCGCTGGGATATCTGATACCACTGTTCATTAGACCATTTGAATGGTGGCTTGGGATGTGTGCTGTGTCTCTGGACTGCAGGGCGGGCAGCGCTGTGTTCCAGGGGAGGGTCAGAGATATGTATTTGTGTGCCTGTGTCAGTCTAAGTGTGTTACAGCGGGGTGCAGGAGGGCTAGCTGGCTCCCTGTGGGCATTGAGCTTCCCTTGGGGTGCCGGTGTTTGAGACAGCCCTTCAGCATGGAGTGAGTGGGTGGGTTTGAAATAGACTGTTGAGTTCTGAAGGTGGTTGTGTGGGTGCATCCCTTGCAGAAGCAGGCCCAGAGCAGTGGGGTATTGAGAGGCGCTGGGGGAGAAATCCCTGTGGTGGAATTGCGGTGATGTTGCAGCCAGCGATTGCTTTGTAACGGGCAGCTCTCCGTTTGCTTTTTGTATTGCTACAGCCCATTAATTAGTATGTTCAGTCAGGGGCCTTGATCCTTGCTGAGTCTGACCCAGCACCAAACTTTGTGCCAGCATTTAAACTCTCAAAGCTTACCATTTATGTGACTGCTTTTAAGACAACAGAAAGACCTGGTTTTGTGTTTTTAGCATAACGCCTTCTGGATCTACATTTGGTTCCCTTCTGTGCTCTAAGTGCCAGCACTCAGCGCAGCTTGAAGTAGTGTTATGAGTTAATCCCTAAAAATCAAAGTCTTTGGAGATAGTAAATCAGTTCTAACTACACCTTTTGACCCAATTTGTGAGGCTTCTGCAGCTGAGCAGCTGGCAATTAGAGGCTAAAGTTGCATGTGTGAAATGCAACTTTCACTGTTCTCTTCTCACATTGTGCCTTCTGCGTCTATAAATGCACCATCCTGCCTGTTGGTGAAAAGGATCTCGGGCCAAGATGTGCGGTAACACACAGCGTCGGGGAGGTGGGGATAGGTCTGGACTTGCATTCGGTTAAATTTGATCTTTACTAGGCCAGGGCTAGGATCTTCTCCCTGAATCTGCTCCCTCCCTTGCTGCTGGCCTGCAGCGGGAGCACTGAGTAGCGGTTGTGCCCTTCATGCTGTCTCTGTCCGTGGAGCAGCGCCGGTTCTCCTCAGGGGGCTGAATGTGTTCTACATGCTGCTGTGCAGAAAAGTGCCGAGTGCCAGTTAGGTGCTGTAAACAGTGGTGCCCACTCTCTGCTGAAAGAATGCAGTGCACGGAGGGAATTTGCGGTGCTGGGGCTTCCCACAGCAACTGGGTGCCTTGTATGGTTCCCGCCGCTTTTGTATCTCCTGCAGCCTCTGGTGCTTCTCTCTGTCACTCTGCATGTGCTGGTTTTGGTTGTGTGTTGGAGTCATTTTCTTGCCTTTCAGGTGGACAGAAGAAGAGCTGAATTTGATTAACAGCTGGGCCTTCCAAGGGGAGCGGGTGATCCATGGCAATCCCTCGGGTGTGGATAATGCTGTTGGTACCTGGGGTATGTGTGTGTTGGCTGCTCCCCAGCAGTGAATATGGGTGCTGGGGAGGGGCTGATGGCATGGCAGAGCAGCAGACATGTTTCCATTCTCTGCTGCAGAGCGTGCATCAGCTGTGGGAAGGTGGTGAGCAGATGACACAAGTGCATTTCTCCAAACGATAAGGCTTGGTTGGGGTTGCTGCAGAGACACTGGATCAGCAGGTTGCCTCGCTGCACTGAGGTGGAGCAAAGGGACCAGAAACTCCCAAATTCAGGTCCCCGTTTTGACCCGAGTAGAGGGAATCCTTCCCTGTCTTGGTTTGCCCCAGCTGTAAGCTGGGACTGGAGCCAGCTGGGCTGTTGGGGACTGGCTGCAGTAACACCAGAGATCTGTGTCCCCCAGGCAAGTGCCGCGGGGCAGAGACCCTGCTGCAAATGACTGAAACTTAAACATTCTGGCGTGAACAAAGAAACCTAATCCTGTCCCAAGGATAATGCGGTAGAAAATGCAGTTGGACAGCTGTCATTTAGTTTCAATTAGCAGAGAATTCCAAGTGTTTTGGAAGTGTCCTTGGAGACTTTTAATAATCTTTTTAATGAGACCTAATCGCAATGCCTCTGTAAAAGTAGGAGCCAAGTGAGACATTCCTTCTGGACAATGAAATCCCATGCTGAAGGACGGCTGCTGACATGAGTGCAAACACTCAGTCCAGTTTGAAACCTGCGTGCTTGGCTCTGCCCCAGGGAATCACTGCTTGACTCTTTTTTTTTTTTTTTCAGTAAAGATTTAATGCTGGGCAAACTCTTTGCCTTCTAAAAAATATTTAATGTGATCCCGAAGTAAAGGAGAGCAAAGGGAAAGGCACTGGGTTAACTATGTCCAGCCAGACCCTCTCATTAAGTCAGCAGGGTTAGGCAGATTCATGCTGCCTGAGAACATGGTTCATTTAGCTGGTGTTTCTTGCAATTACTGTCACATGCTCTGAGTGAGGTTCTGAAGATGAAAGACCTTCTGTCTCTCATGACACTGTGTTATCTCTCAGCTCGCTGTGTACTGAGACAATGCATGTATTTTACTTTAGGTGGAGCCCTGAGATACCAATCAGGAAAAATCACACCATTAAAGAGGTAATATTCGAGTTTAAAAATAACACTTACATACGGTGGGTGGAATATGTCAAAGAGGCATTGGGTGGATCTCGTAGGGTGTGAGATTGATGGGAGATCGCTAACAGTGTGGCGGAAGGGTTTTGTAGCCAGATTTTGCCATGGGTGTGGGTAGCTTGAGTGTTGTCTTGGTTTGGGGTGGACGGGAACAATGAAATGTTTGGTCATTATCTGACATTAGATGAACACAGCACAAAGGATCAATATTAATTTCATGGCGTTATGGGCAGCAGGAACGGATCTGCTCCTGGCAGCAAATGACATTGTGGGGAGGGGGAACTTTTTGCTTACCTGGTGGTAGGACTGTGTGAAAACCAGGCTGCAGAGACAAATCCAGGTCCTGTGTGTTCCCTCTGCCTCCTGCCAATGAAGTATAATCCAACCCCATTAAAATCTTTCACAGTGCATGAAATTGCTCTATTAGCAGTTAATGGCTACTGCTGGCTAGTCTCACAGATAGTATTTCAAAGGAAAATTTTGCTTGAAAAACATGGATTTCAGTAAATATGTTAAAGTCCTATTTATAGCACTAGTACAGTTGTTCTTGTATCTAAGAGGAACAAGCCTGAACCCAGCCAGCACTTAAGCACCTGCTCAACTTTTTTAAAACTAATGGGACTCCTTATCTTGGGTGTCTTGCTCAAATAGGCCTTTTGAGGCAGAAGAAACTGTGGCTGGCTGGGCCTTGGGGGCTGCTGGGGGACCGTGAAGGAGAGAGGCAAGGAGATGTCTCTTGTTGCTTCCAGGGTGCCGACGCTGAGGATCTTGCTGACCAACACAAAAGTCCCTCGAAGCACCAAGGTCCTGGTGGCTGGTGTCAAAGAGAAGATGCTGAAGGTGCAGCACCTGCGTGGTCACGGGGATGGAGATGTGTGCTGGGGAGGGTGGAGGGATAACTGATGAGCTCAGATCTCCTCATGCGGGACTGCAGCTCTCATGGGGATCTCTTGGGAGATCCCTCCTGTGGTCACTGCATTCCTACGTGCTGCTAGGTAACACCCAGCTGCCCTGGGAATGGGGGTTCAGCTTGCCTCCTCCCTCTCTCCAGCACTAACAGGGCTTGCCACAAAAATCACCAGTTCCTTCCTCTGGCCTGTTCCTCTCTCTTCCCCCTGTTTCTGCAGGTGGGAGAGACTTACCATTGCCCTGCTTTGCAGGGGTGAGGAGGTCTGTGAATGAGTAGCCCCAGGTGGGGTGAGGAATTGTCCAGCTCCAAGGGACTGGGGCCGCTTTTATCACAGTGGTATTAGAAGACTAGTGAGCAGTCTTCTCACTTCTTGCCTTCCCCCACTTCTCAGTTCCCTGCTATAATGAACCCGGTGCTGGACTCCATCGATGCAATTTCTCAGGAGTGCCAAAGTGTTCTGGAAGCGATGCCTGCAAATCCATCACCAGAGTATTACCCTGTGCTGGAGGTAAGGGGCTTGTTCGCTAGTATTTTTAGACACTGTTACTGTTGAACATCAAAATGTCATTTAAAGAACATTAGGTCTAAGAAAAAAATTTGATAGCAGGAAATGTTCAGTTCTGAGTGAAACCATGGTCTGTGTGCGCTGCTTTTAATGCCCTTCCTGGAGCCAAGGGACAGAAAATGCTGCTGGTGTCTCTCCACAGCAGTGCACAGGGAGGGAGGGAGTGGGCCTGGTGCTTTGTGGACCTGTAGATCTGCAGGTTTTGTTTTTCTTTGCTAAGAAATGTGGAGTGAGTTCAGGCTGAGACGCTGCCTCCCTACGCCGTGGGCCAGCCACGCTCGTTCTGGCAGTCACTGCCTGTGAAGCAACTGCTTTGTCATTGCCAAGGCTGGAGTGAAGAGCAGAGAGCCCAGCAGCCACTGGTTTGTGATGGACTGGTCACGAGCCAGCTCCCATTGCTCTGCGCTCATCCTGGCTCCAGAGAATAACAAACAGAGTTGTGCCCAGACCTGACCTGACATTGATGCATGAGGTGCATACAAAGATCTGTGTTTGTCTTGGCTTCGTTCAAAGTGGCAGAGGCTGCTGTGGTGGGGGGAAACATGCTTCCAAGTGGAAGAAGTTTTTTGCAGTGCTGAGAGCACTGTAATACTGATTCATACAACCGTGGGGTAAGGATGTGTGGCAGCATCCCAGCTGAGGCAAACCTGGCCTGGCCCTGGGTGCCAAGTGACTTGGACGGTCAAGAACCATTTGGTACCAGTGTTGCAGTTCGTTGTTGGCATCTGGATCCCTTCCCTTGGCTCTCCCGTGAGGACCTCTGCTTGTCCTTGCTCTTGCTGGTAGGTTGTCCCCTCCACGACCATGAGCGTGCTCTGGAGGTGCAGGAGGGGGCACTGGGATGGGACAGAGAGCTGCTGTCCCAGCTCGACCTGTGGCAGCAGCGTAGGGCTGCTCTGTTAGCAGACGGTTGGTACATCCTTGGCTTTGCTTCAGGCTGTGTTGCACCTCACTGCATGTGGGTGAGCTGCTGCTGGGACCACAGCAAATGCGGGAGGGTCTCCCATGGGATTCATAGCAAAGTCCTTCTTTTCCCTTCGCACCAAGAGGGTGGGGGGTTTCTGTAGCCATCAGGGGGGCTGACCCTAATGAGGGCTGAGCTGGCATCGGCTGGGGGAGATCTGGAGTCTGTTTGCAGCGCAACTTCAGACAACTCTTCTCCACCTTAATGCAGTATTGCTCAGACTGTCAGAAGTGTTGGGAGATGGGGAAGAGGAAGGCTAATTTGAAGTGTGCTTTGAGATCCTCACATGAAAGATGCCAAAGCAGCCTTGTATACAATGCCCGGGAAGCAGCACTGCAGTGAGCAGGTTTCTGTCTTGAATCTGTTGTTTTGTCTTGTGCTTGAATTGCCCACAGAGGCACAGTTGATTATATGCAGTATATATATATTTGGCTGTTTCTGAAATGTGCAGTTCTGGACAGCACTGTATTTGAACCATCGAACTAGTCTACTGTGTCATAAGCTGTCATCCAATTCCTGGCAGATTTTGGATCAGGAGATGACAGGTGTCTTGGATCATCATAGACAGTGCTGTGCCCTCACTCAGGCATATAAAGAGGCCTCTAGATGGACGTCTGTCCAACCCAGCACGGAACTTGTGATATATGCGCTCTGCATGCGACTGGCTAATTCATCTCCTTGCATTTGTTTAAACACAGTACAGAAATGCTCTGGAGCGGGGGAGAGGGATTATTTCTGTGTCTTCCCCTCCTGTGTGGTGCTGGCAGGAGACCCTTGTGGAGCTGACAGAGGGGGTGATGTGACTGACACCTGCTACACTGCAGCATGGCTCCCGCTGCTCCCTGTGCACAGCATCCCTACCAGCTCACCGCAAGCTGCAGACAGAGAAGCGCTTGGTGGCACCGGCTGGAGGAAGGAGCACAGGGCTCCTGTTAGGGAGCCTCTCTGGGACTGGTCCCATCTCGCTGGCTCCCTGCTTGTGACACCCTCTGGGACAGCAAGGGGAACAGGCACCACACGCCGGGGAGATGATCGAGTCATGGTGTCAGACCAGTACTGTTGAGAACAAGCTTCTTCCACTGATTGTGCTGATGAGCTGGGAGGGCACTGCGGTGCTTGGGGGCCTGGTGTCAGTTCCTGGCCCTGCTCCAGGCTTGCTCTGACTGTGGGCCAAGCCCTTCCCCCTCTTCCTTAATTCCTCACCTCTATTACTGGGAAGAGAGAAGCTGTAACTCCCACCTCTGTGTGTGGTTGTCCATCACTTGGGCCATTTGGACTTTGCTGCGGTGGCAGCTTTCTCCAGGAGCTGCAGGGTTTGTGGCTGGCTGGGACAGTGTGCCAGAGATGCACTTGCAGCTCACCAGAGCTGGGCAGCCCTGCTTGGAGGGCGGTCTTGCTTGGAGAGTGGCTTGCGCTGCTCTCCCCTGAAAGGGAGGACCCTCTCGACCCCACTTGAGCTGGGTGCCAGATTCCCAGCATGGTGCTGGTGAGAGGCCCCTTGGCTTGCAGCCCAGGCCCTGCCCGCGAGGAGGGAGAAGTGCTGCACAATGCAAACAAGGGGAGGTAACTCCACGTCGCCTCTCCAGCAATGCCGCTTCGGACTTGGCTGTGTCAGAAGTCCCCTGGATTTAGTTATGCTGGATGGATTGCAGAGCAGGGCAGGGTGACAGCCAGGAATGAGAGATGCTGGCTTAGTTCCCTTCCCACGGCCAGCGAGGGGGCTTGCACAGTCTCCTGCTCAACACTCGCGTGACAGGGGAGAGGTGAAGCAGCTGGGAGGCATTGGGGAGCTCTGATTTAGCGCCTGAAATAAATGCCTGTTGGCAGCTTGAGGTGACAGGATTTTCTCTGTCCTCCCTGAACGAAAAGGTCCAGAAGCTATTGTACCGCTGTGCTGGGCAGCAGCAGCACAAATCATGAGGGGGACAGGGACGGATGAGCAGCCCAGGGCTCAGACCCTGGCCTCTACCTTGCTGCCCAGTGCTGCTGGGCTCCGAGATGTGCTGGTGGCCAAACTCCCTGCAGAAATGAGATGGCTGTGGGGGTGGGTGGCTGGGAAGGCTGGGCAGCTCCCCTGCACCTTGCTGGGAGGGGGCCACAGCTGTGAAGAGCCTCTGTCACCATGCATGCTCATCTCATGTGTGCGGTTGCTTTTAGGAGCTCTTTGATATAAATCAACACCACTTAAACGTGATCGGAGTCGGCCATCCTTCCCTGGACAGGCTGTGTCGGGTGACGGCGTCCCACGGCCTGCATAGCAAGCTGACCGGGGCTGGTGGGGGCGGCTGTGGCATCACCCTGCTGAGACCAGGTCAGTAACCCTCTGCTCGCCCTGGGCATCTTTCCCCTGTTCCACGCAGCCCTGCCAGCGGGGTCAGGTTTGGAAGTAGAGGGATATGATGCTAGCCCTCGTGTGGCTGCGGTGGGATGTGAAGCCATGTCACAAGCGTGGGATGGTGTCTAGCAAAGCTGCCTGGCAGTGTGGTTTGCAGTGTTTCATACAGGGGCGATTCAGTGCGTTCATTTATGTGTGTCAGATCTTCAGGGCATTGGCCCTGTTCCAGGGGGCATGTGTTGAAACACGCGATGGCCTGTTTCAGTCTCCCTGCAGTGGCCTAGCTGACTAACTGGCTGCTCTTGCCTTCCTCTTGGCAGACACCTCCCCGCTGGCCGTGGAAGCAGCCAAGCGAGACTTATGTGCCTGTGGATTTGAATGCCGGGAGACCAATATCGGGGCCCCTGGAGTGACCCTGCACTCCTCCTCGTCTTTAAACGCTGAAGTGCTCCACGCGCTCTCCGAGAGTTAAGCTTCTGCCTCTGGCAAGACTGAGCTCTTGGCACCGTGTCCTCGGAGCGATAGCTGTGCATGCCCAGATGCCTGGAAACTTCTCTCCTGCTCTCCTGTGTGGCTGCGGGCCCCTAGTTGCAGGTGCGGAGCCAATTTTGGGCCTGGTGTCACTGGGAGTGGGGGCTACGATGAGGACCCCGGAACAATTGCTTGCACTTGGGCTAGGTGCGAGTTTGACCCAGGCTCTCAAAATCCTGTTTTGAATTTACTTACTCAACTGCTGTGCTAATCCCAAGGGGCAGGAGGAGAGGGTCTTGGCTGAATTCCAGCGTGGATAATGACACTTTGCTTGGTTCTGCTGCTTCAGATGCATGTGGTGTCTCTTCCCTTCTCCCCGGGCGGGCAGCAAGGCTGGCAAGGTGGATGTGCAGAGCGCTTTGACATTTTTGGGTGAAAAGCGTCTTGGCAGCTCAGGGCTTGACACTCAGGTCTCCGTTTCTCCTGGACTGCAATTCACGGTGGAGAGGAAACCTTTAAATACAACTCTTACCTGGTACTAATTAAGAGTTGGATAATTAAAATGAAAGAAACAGCACATTTTTAGTGA